GTGGGAGCGTATTTCTATGGATTTTCTAGGAGGGTTGCCGACTACGAAGCGCGGGCATGACTATTTGTACGTTGTGGTGGACCGGTTCAACAAGATGGTGATATTGATTCCTTGTAAGAAGACCGTGACGGGAGCGGGTGCAGCACAATTGTTCTTCGAACATGTGTGGAAGCACTTTGGGTTGCCGAGTTCGATTATTTCGGATCGGGATAGCCGTTTTCTCGGGCATTTTTGGGATTCTTTGTGGAGTTTGATGGACACTAAATTGAAGAAGAGCACGGCCTTTCATCCACAAACAGACGGACAAACGAAGGTAGTCAACCGGACTATGGTGCACATGTTGCGGGGGTATAATTCCAGGCATCCTAAGACTTGGGATGAGAGTTTACCATATTTGCAGTTTGCTTTTAATCGGACGATTCATGAATCTTCCGGAAAGTCACCGTTTGAGGCTTGTTATGGATTTTTACCGCCGAGCCCGTTCGATCTTGTGTTTTCAAGTGAAGCCACAGTGGACGGCAAGGAAGGGAGTGAAAGACTACGTGCTCAGCGATTTCTCGAGAAGATTGCAAACATTCATGCCACGGTTGAAGCTCAATTGAAGAAATCACAAGCTAAGTACAAGGCGAAGCATGATCAACATCGGGTTCCTTGTAACTTTGGTATAGGCGATATGGTATGGCTAAAATTGAGTAAGGAGAGGTTAAAAAGAGAAGGGAAGAAGTTGAAGCCTATTCGTTATGGTCCGTTTCGGATTCTCGATCAGATTGGCAACAACACTTTTCGATTAGATTTGCCGCCTTACTTAGGCATGTATTCGGTGATCAATGCCGAGTACTTGAAGTTGTTTGAACCTCCGTTATTAGATGATGAAGGTGATGACAAGATGATCTTACCGCATGTTGAAGACTTGTGGTTTGATAGAGAGGAGCCACTGAAAGAAGATTACATTTTGGAACGGAAGACGACCNAGCGATCCTCATGGGAGCTTGAGGATAGATGATTCTCATGGTATCTTAAGAATAGAGTAGAGGAGTCGTGGACGAGGTCATTGGAGGCGGCGAAGTCGAAGGATTCGTCAAACTACCGGAATTACATTTTGGGCTCTGTCCGGTCGACCGCATGTGTCACTGTGGCCGACCGCGTAGTGCACAGATCCAGACTGTGTCTCTGGACTGAGAGCGGTCGACCGATGTAGGCGCTGCGGTCGACCGGAAACCCTGTAAGCAATTTTCTAGAAAACGACGTTCTGGCCGGTCGACCGACTTGGTCACTGCGGTCGACCGCGTAGCGGTTATGGGCCTGGGCCTGTTTCCTGCACCGTTTAGGATTTTTGTTTAGTATAAATAGAAACACGACTTTTCTAGGGTGGATCACTCAGATTGTAATCAGAAAAGAGATCAGGGAGGTTGTTCTTTGATCTAGAGAGATTGTGAGAGAGAGATTTTGTAAATCCAATTGATTCTCATAATCTAGAGAAGGTATTTTCCTTCGCCCTAATTATAACTCTTGTGTTTTTCTGTCGTTTTCTTCTCTACCCACTCTTGATAATTCCGCGATCAAGAGTGCTCACACGGCAACTCGTATCAGACTCATGCCTGTCATAAGTCGACTCACAAACTGTGCTGGAAAATGAGTTTTGTTTCTGATGAGTCGACTCTTGATCTTATGAGTCGACCCATGGTTTATGAGTCGACTCATGCCATAAGTTGGTTTTTAGCCTGTAACGGCTACTTATGAGTCGACTCATGAACAGTACTGAGTCGACTCATAACAATGTAATCGCTACTTTCAGTTTTTGTTTTCTTCTGGCTTTTTGGTCTTTTTACTTGGGTTCTTGCTGATGTTTTGGGGTGTTATAAATATCCCAGTGCATTTAACATTCAGACCAACCAAAAGATTTATTTAATTAAGTTTACAAGTGTTTAAGAGGTGTTTAAAGCCTTGTTTTAAGTTTTGTTTCAAAAGAGAAGTTTTACACAAAGAAGAAGCTTTCAATTTCAATTGAGGAATTCATCCTCATCATCATTTCTTCAGTTCTTTGTGTTTATAAAGAAGTTTTTCTAAACTCTTTTATATAGCTTATTGATTGTCAATTTCATATTTATATCTTGCTATATTAAATTGAGTTAGAATTTCATTATTCTCATTTATCACACACACCCTTATTGAGCTTAGATTATTTCATACAATATATTAGAGGGTTGGTGTGTGAATCAGTGAGAGTGAGCTTCATTGTGTTCTCATTCATTATAGAGAACAAAACATTTTATTTGAGCTTATATTATGAGTATCACTTGTAATATACTTGTACATCAAGAGAAGTGTGTGGTGAGAGACAGGTTCGAATTCAAGAGAAGTGGCGTCGGTTGACGAACCTAGGGAAAGTTTGTATCCGAGCACTTGAGGAGGACACGGGCTAGAGACTAACACTTTGTGTGTATAGTGTGATTGCATAGTGATTGATTGTGAGAGTTTTCGGTGAGCTTGAAAATCGAGTGTGTAGAAGTTCTGGCTTTCAAACCGGGTTATGATAGTGGAGATCTCCTCGAGGTGAGGAGCGGAGACGTAGGTCGTGGGGACCGAACCTCGTGAACATATTGTGTATTTGTGTTTGCTTGGCGTTCATCTTTATTTGTGCTCACATCATATATCGCTTTCATCTCTTTGTTGTGTCATATTTATTTACACTTGTGTTTATATATCCTTGCATATATTTCACCATTTAGGATATATCCCTTTGTTCATATTGCATATTCTTGCTCATAACATATTGCATATCTATCCTGCAAGAATAATTTATTAATAAGTTTTAATTGGCATAAAATAGGATTAGATTAGCATAAGACCCTAATCACCCCCCTCTAGGGTCTAACAATTGGTATCAGAGCTTGATGCTCTTTGATTTAAGGTCTAATCACCTTGAGTTAAAGATCCAAGTTATCTTTTGTGTTAATTTTGTTGTGTTTTTTTTTTTTTTTTTTGTATCTTGCTTGCACATATATACATTATGGATATGTACGGTGCATCTAGTTTAGGTTATGCCATTAATGTTACTCCTCGTTTGGATATTTTTTCCTATGCTCAATGGCGTTTTAGATTCAAACTTTTTGTTCAATCTAAAAAATTCGATTTATGGGAAGTTATTGAAGATGCTTATATTGTACCCACTTCGGAAAAATCCAAGTAGAGTAAAAATGATAAAAGAACATTTAATATGAACAAGTTGTTTTTAGAATATTTACTTAGTGCTTTTCACTCATCTTTTTCTAACAAATTTGTTCATTTTGATAGTGCTTACAATTTATAAAAATTTATAAAAGCACATCAAGGGGACTTGGAGGCGATCCGACAAGCTTTGGAGGCTTTCTCTTCAAGTTCCATTGGAGGATCATGCACACGACCACTAGGTGATAGCCCTAGTGAGGTACGCGAGCTCGACAACGATGATGATATTACTTTTGACGAGCTTGCGTATGAATTTGAAAAATTATTCAATAGTTATATTGAATTGAAAAAAAGCATGATAATATGAAATCCTCTCATGAAACACTAGTTACTAAGTTTGATCTCATTACAAATGAAATATAAATCTTAAAGAATGCAATGAAAATTTGAGATTAGAAAATGCTAGATTGCTTCATGAAAAATGTGATGCCATGTTAGAAGTAGAGATTAGTAAAAAATAAATTAAACTCTATGGTAAATGATTATGTTTATCCTACTTCTAGTAGCAATGCTTGTATGCACAATGATGAGTTGAATCAAATGAAAAAACGCATATTGACCTTAGATTCAACACTAAACACTTGTATTGCAAATAACAAAAAGCTTATGGACATGTGTGCAAAGTATCATGTTAATTCTTATAAGAAACCTACACACTATGCACACATGTATGACAAAATTCACAAATGTTATATTTACGGTCTTAAAGGCCATATAGCCAAATTTTGTCATAATGCACAAAAGCTTGACAAGCCTATTCATGATTATGCATCCCATCAAGCTTCTTCATCTCATACACATGTACACACACATCTCGTTATTATCCTTCGTTGCCATTCCCCAATGATATCCTCTATGCTGAATACATTTAACCTCTGGTTTGGTACTGAATCGACGTTAAGAAATCTTCACATATTCTTTTATTTATAGGCTACACATGAATTTAGTGTGCCCTGAAACTATAACGCTCTTCGTGTCTGACGCCTTTCTTATTTTACAAAGCCAAGTCTCCTGCTCTGCAGCTCTATCAACAACTGGTTGTGGTGATGGTGTAATTATTAGTATTTCCTCTTTAATAGTCATAACTGGTACAACTGGTGGTGGCACTCCTGAAAGTGGTACTGTTGGTGGAAATGGATACACCTCTTGCTCCTCGAGTATTGCAAAATCTTACTGTAAATGGCGTCATGAAGTCAATCAAATACTATGGAGCATGCTGCGGCTCGGGGCTCTGCTTGCCCAGCTCTCCAGGTACTAGTTTACCTCGACCACGTCCTTGTCCCGATATTCATAATATCAGTAGGAGAAATTAATTTTTTTTTCACAGTAAATGAGATCACAATTATATATATACATAACGTATCACAATATGTATTTAGGCAATTACTTTTCAATCAAAGTAAAATAGTTGTCATAAAAAAATTTCGTAAATTTTTTTTTTTTTTTGAATCTACGTATATAACGTCCTCACTCATTCTAGAAATTTCTAGCGAACTCTATACATGAATCCTAAGAAACTCTATTCTAGCTCCACGACTCGACACAGGATGATCCTAAGGGTACTGAAACTAGAGCTCTGATACCAACTGTGACGCCTCTGTTTTCACACATTGTTACAGTCCAAGATGAACCCAGAGATGTCAAACCTGTCATGCACCCACACTGTGTAACAACAAGTTTCACCAATCACAGTAATTTCCTCTAATGGAATCAAAGTAAAGTGTAGGTACAAAACAGGTAAAAGAAAGGAAATAACTACAACAGACATGATATAGAAAGGAGTATCTCATAAATAAATCATGTCTTAATGAACAATCTGGAATACATCCGACATCCGAAATAAATAAATATGTCTCGACATGAAACAGCTGAAAATGTAACTAAGGCTCATAGCCTTTACAAAATGTGATACAAAACTCTAATGTCCGAATGAAAATAACTCTACTGTGGAGTCTCTACTAGTAACTCATGTGACGGCGACTATGCAATAACTCTGTCATCCTGCGGCCCTCCGATGCTCTGAGCCACCTGAAAGTTAAAATAAAATAAAATAAAAATAACAACAACAAGAACGTCAGAACGCTAGCAAGATTACCTCCATCCGTCCCCAGGGAATGGCTACTAAATAAAGTGAAGGCTCTATCTATTAAGCATAGCCTACCTAGATCATTGTCCCCATATATAAGGAAAATACTTGTTAATACATACATATAAGCAATCATCTACTCTGAAATAAATGGATGTTGATATTTAAAAATCCACAACACGAGCATAGGTATGTCGAATATCCAGTTAGCTCAAATTGTGAATAGCTAAATACCAAATCTAAAAACTACTACATTGAGCAATAAGAAAAGACAATTCCATCTCAAACCATATCAAAGGTGTCCTGACAGATATCAAATACGTGTCCAACACATGGACTTCACCTGCTACATATTAGATAAGACAATTCGAAAAAGTATCCAACACATGGACTATATATGATGAATGTCCAACACATGGACTGCAATAGATAAATATCCAACACGAAGACTGTATATAATTAATGTCCAACACATGGGCCGCAATAGGTAAATGTCCAACACTTCGATCTATCATGGTTTAAAGAATTATCATCAACAGTTTGGCGCCCACCATGGGGCCCCTTTCCTTTTTCGAGATGACATGTCACGTTCTGGACAAGGGTCCGATTCTACCCATCCCGAAGAACAATATTGGAGTTGCATCATCCAAGCTAAATGAAGTCAGGGGTTGTATCATTCAAGCTAAGGAGGGTTAGATTTGGCTAAGAGGAACCAACATAGGTGTAGTCCTCGAAGGCCTCGTCGACGTATCTGGGGAGTGTTTGCCAAGCACACCATCGCTAGATAGTAGAATGACCTCCAGCCCCACTAAAAACCCTCCAGAAGAAGACACACCATAAGAGTGGTTGTCTTTCTTGAAAAGCAACATTGGCTTTTAATTGCCATCACAGAATAACTCTGGTCAAAACATAGGATCAAATTTCAGAACTGGTGAAATCTTGTTAAATATGAATTAACTCATAGGCATCAAGGCTTCACTATGGCTGAAAGACCTAAGCACTCCCAACAAGCCTAGGCGTTCGACTTCTGAGTTGGATTTTCAAGCCCTTGGTCCTTTATCAGGAATAAACCCAATGCACAACCCTATGGTCGACTCCTACAGTCACCATTCGACCATACGGGGATTATGAAGACCTAGGCACGTACGTAAGACCTAGGCACTCAACCTCAGGGTTGCCATTCTGCCAAAAAATATATTCATAAGCCTATGGTATGAATATTAAGTGTATGGTCAATACTTAATTGATCTAAAAACTTAAGCAGTCATCTGTCAAGTTCTGGTCAATTAAGCGCTCGGTCAAACTAAGGTATTAGGTGAACTAGTTGTCATAAGTCCCCAGCACAGGTCGCACATTATAACTAACTCACTTCAGCCAACATTTCAGACAAGAACAAAGCTACAAAGCTAAAAGAATATAAACAATGAAGGCAAGCTCAAGAATGGAGACAAAAGTTAATTTTCATTCAATAAGAGTAAACTTCATTACAAACTTCTCTACAAAAAAAAGAGAGAAGAGAGATATGCAAGTCTTCAAAGCTCTCGACCAGATCCGAGAGTTGGACTTGGCGGTCTCCGGGTGGTAGCAGTTGTAGAAGCCAGGAACCCCAACAACAGGCTCGACCTCATCGTCACTCGCTGATAAATCCAACTCGCCTCCATTTTTCTTGACATCTTTCAACAAATCGAGATAGCATGAGATGCATGTAGGATAGAAGCGATCTAAAGTAGGATGAGAGTTGCGAGTCACTAGAGAAGCGAAGTAGTCGACTCCAACCTTACATGCTAGGGTCACCTCGGCTTTCCTTATAGGACCATAGCGCCAGTCGTCGACCACCTTTTTATGCTGCTCCGAATCTAGATGAACGAGTTTGTTCTCCACTGCGTTCGGACCCATCCCAGTTGGTTGGGCCTCCCCAACCGGTCTGAATGGACGCTGTCTCTCAACGCATGTCCTCCCCCTCAATTCAGAGACAATTTTAGCGGCTTGAGGCATCAAGACAACCACCTCCTCAACATTGAAGGCCCCCCTCAGCTTTTTATGGTGCCTAGCAGTGGAACTCAACCCCTCGGTCCCTGCATTCCTCTTGCAACTTTCCGCCAACAGAAGAACGGAACTTGTCCTTGCTTGGAAGCTAGTGGAAGACAAAATCATGGATATGCCCGCCGTTTGGAGAGACATCATCAAATAGAGCATCGCTCTCTCGTGGCCCGGCATAAGAACGGATCTTTTCCAGATCCATCATCTCGGAATCACTAAGGGTAACTGGCCTTAAAGCGTCTTCATTCGCCTCCGGCCAGCCCGAGCAGGCGAAGATGTTATCGCCATCATAGACCCACACAAATTGCCTCCTCCAGTCCTCATCCAACTCAAAAGAATTTGAGACAAGCTGGAATTCACCACGATAGTGGAAGGAGTAATGTGGGTCCTTCTCAGCCGACCTCACGCTGATCAAATGCCCAAGTAATCTCAAGTTTGGTTGGACTCCAACACGATGGCAAATGACGATGAAAGCCACCAGAATCCCCACTGCGTTCGAATAGAACTGGGAAGGGGAGACTCCTAGAGCAGTGTGCACCTCCTTGATAAAAGGGTGCAAGGGCAGTCGTAAGCCATGCTCCAAGTAGGCTCGCTCATCTCTGGCGCCGCCAATGTAAGAGTCCGAGAGATGTTGTATTGAACATACAACCCCACCAGATTATCCATATGAACCTTCGAGCGGATAAGCAGAAGAACAGCGAGTCTCTCCTCACTACGGCCAGAGTGTGAAACTTGAGAGGTCATTGAAAACTTTTTCTTAAAAAAGATTGGAGGAATATCAGGAATTTGTCAAAGCGAATGTTCGTAAAAGAATTATCTTAACATTAAGAGGCTACTTATAAGCTTTCAAGGAAGAGTATAGAGGAATATCGAAGGACGCGATGATTTTCGAGGCAACCATGCCCAATCCACTTTGGAATCTAAAGAGGTTCACTCGAAACACGAAACGCCACCCTCATTTAATGTCCCACGTCCCAATACTCGAAAAACGGAAGATCCTTCATTATGTTCATAACACTTCATCTCCCAAAAAAACGGTTCAGATCTTTGACGTCAGCCCTGAAAAGCGGAGTCAACAATTGATGCCATATAAAGACTTCTCATTTTTTCATCCTCAGTAGGCTTGTATTAAACAGAGCGTATCTTATTTCTCTCGAAGCCGACTAAAAGTCGACTCCAAACGAAATGGGCTAACTGTTATGGTGTTCACTCACTCAAGATACGGGCATTTGTAAAATGATACAATAAGAGTCCTAGCAAAATAACATCAAACCCACTTAAGTGGCCAAAGCCCAATAGAGGCCTCGACCTCGTCGACTCATCAAGTCGACCTTCTTTTATGCCGACACGAAAGACGGGATCAGTCAACCCTATCGCCGAGGGCGACCCACTTAGAGCACTCGACCACTCACTGGGTAATTCTCGGAGACGACTTAAGGGACATTCCATGCTGTGGACTAAGTTTAGGACTCGGCTCAGCTACCCACGTACCTCCATGACCTATCAATCACTTCCTAAAAAATGCGGAGACACCCTCTCCCATGGGAAGTGACTTCCCCTCCAGTCGCCAACCGACACCTGTAAAGCGAGGGACGATTCAATATGCCCATGTACCTTCTGTCACGCTATCAATCACTTCCCGCAAAATGCGGAGACATCCTCTCTCATGCCGAGGTGACTTCCCTTCAGTCGCCAACCGACACATGTAGAGCAAAGCATGACTCACCTTTCAGCTTACACTTTATCACTGCCATCAACAATGACCGAAGTGACCAATCTGCCCTTGACATCCTCTTCATATACAGATGCTATTCGTCATAGTCGCAGGTGTGCAATCTAAAAAACCCCTAAAGCATACCTAGCACAAAAAGAGGAACACGCAGTTCTTCGTCTAGACAGAAGAGCTCATGTAGATCCTCTGGGCAGAGATATTGTCACTTCAAGAACCACATTGGTTCCTGACATTCCCCTTCCCCACTCGAGTTTCACTAACTTGACCGTCGGAGGAACCACGAGGGTACCGGTCCCTACCCTCTCATGGGTTAATCTTGTTTGTGCAGCGTGGACATCGATTCCCTGTTCAAGAACCAAACATAAAGTCGAAGAAGGAAGCGGCCCCTCCATCACTCTCCCTTATCACGTCCCGATGAGGACTCAAAGGAGGTCGATCTAGTTCCGGACCAAAATCAATCCTAGCCTGGATCCAATCGGCTGTGTGATATCTAGCATCAACAGAGTTCATTGTTTTTTAACATGCTGAATACCAACTTAAAAAGCTCAAAATTTTATAACAATAAGTTCTTTACTCTAGGAACTGCACTTGACGGTGCACATATAATGCATCAATTTAAGCTGTAATAGTTAGCAAATCCAGAGCAGCAAAATCTTTCGCACACAAAATGTGTTCGCATGTATAGTTTATGACATCTGATTCACTTATGTTCTAGCAGGGTGTTCGCATGTATAGTTTATGACATCTGATTCACTAATGTTCTAGCTGGCTGACTAGGATCTACACATGATGTTTTGGTTCTTAGTAGCACTTTTAGCGAGGGAAGGCTCGGAAGTAGAGAGAGATAACTTAGTTCTTAAATTAAATTTATCTGTACGAAACTTTGGATAGATATTTATCTAACTCTTTCAAAAATGTTGGTAAAATCTATCAGTATTATGTTGGATATGCGATCTCTCCATACCTCATTTCTCAATTTCGCAATGTATGAGATCACTTAAGAGATTACATTCTCCTGCTATGAGCATCATTACTCAAGTACTTAACAAAGTAGATATACAAAGTATAGTAAATTCTATAGAAGCAAAATGAAGGAAAACCTAAGAAACTCAAAACAACAATGTAGAGGACACCTTGAATACAGCTAAAAGAGCAGATCAACCGCACATAACCTGGGGCCCAATCCTGTTTCTCCCACTCATTCACCCCACACAAGACACAAGCGTGTCTTCCAACTGTACACAACAACAACAACAACAACAACATCACTAGTTTATTTAAATCCAAGCTTGGTCTTTCTTTTAGAGTCATCTCACCTCACAAGTCCAAGGTTGATGATCCCAAATGAAGTCCTGGGCCAAGACTTCTCCTTGGCCTTTCCCAAAAGTAGCCTTCCCCAAGCCACCCACCCCTCCCAACTCATTCTCTTATCCCAAGGGCTCCCCCACTCTAACAGAAGCCTGACCCCAACTTCTGCCTCTTTCTCAGCTTCCTCAAACCTCTCTTCCCCAATATAAACTTGCCCTAACACCAAGTGAGGCTCTCCTACATACGGATTCTTCTTACAGCACTCCAACAGAAGTTCTTCAACCCTCTTCAACCCCCCCTCCCCCTTCTCTCTAGCCTGGCTCATAACCTCCCAGTACAAATCCCTTGCCGCCTTCTGCGCCTCGACATCCAACACCTTCGTGCATCCTTCGAACACGGGGGGAATCACCAGCTCCATATCCTCATCCCTATCAGTATCCAAAGAGAATTGAGATATGTTCATGCTCTTCCTCTCTTCAATAAATATCTCTTCCTCTCTCACAATGAGGGAGTAAATCGCTGCCATTCTCGACACCGAGTTCATCCACAACCCGGGCTTGCCATCGCCAGGCCACAGGGCTGTATACGTGTTCCCAACAAATTCCATTCGACCATTGCCATTGTCAAAGAGCTCATCCTGGAAACCATAATGTTGGTCACTGAAATCAGCCATTGTCATCAGAAGAAAAGTAGCCACCATTCTCCGTGACAGATGCACATCATCCCCACTCTTGATGTGCTTCACTGTTATACCATGGGCTGGAAGCACCGACTTCAGCTTCACTCGCCAGGGTTCTGTGGGCGCAAATATAGAATTTTCCTTCGCAAGGTTTATAGAAAGTGCAGAGTGAGAGAGATGGTCAAGGAGCTCATCATCAGCATAGCGGAACAGAAGGTGATCATGGATGAGGGAGTGACGAGGGACGACGCAGAAGAGGTAGACGAGGCGTTCCGCAGGAGGCCCAATGATGCTGCGGAGGAGCTCACGTCCGCCTGCTACAGGGTCGAAAATGGCAAGATCAACATATGAATTAGAGTAGACAGAGTGAAAGAGACCGCAGCGGGCTACAGGGTCTGGGGATCCCCAGAGCTTGAGGATGCGGTAGACATCGATGAGATGGCCGAGGAAGCAGCCATCCTTGTGCCAGCATTCGCCTGCACTGACAGAACAGAGGAGGGAAACAAAGCTAGGGAGGGCGGGATCGACAATGTGAAGCTCAGAGCGGAGGAAAGGGAGGGCAACATTAAGAATGGTGATGAGTTCATTGTTCCGTGAAGAGGATTGAGAAGGAAAGTAGGATTCTGGCATTTTAGTCAATTGCTAAATGGTTTGTTGTAATTGATGCTGTAGCAAATGAAAGGAGAAGAGATGATATTTATAGAAGTTTGTAGCAGAGGGAGTGAGGGAAAAGGGAGGGAGGGAGGGAGGGATTATTAAAGGATAAAGATACTTTATGAGAACTATGATTGTTGAGCACATGGATACATTAGTACGTTCTTCATGACTACATCTTGCATCATCTGTATTAATAAACTACTTGCATAACTGGAGAACTACTGCATTATAATTAAAAGAAAACTATAAACTATCAGTATATGATAATTGATTTCCTTGTCATGGGTTCCTCAATCAATATGCTCCTTGATGAATTAGGGTTGCAGGGAGATTTATCTTTTCCTCCAAGGAAAGAGACAATTCTAAGACAATCAGTGCTCTCATACCTAAATGATAATGTTAGATTTGTACTACTATGTCTTCCTAGGATCCTATGAATATGTAAAGCAAATAGAACATTTAATATTATTACAAATTAATCTGTATGCATTATCTGAAAGAAAAATGTGATTAAAGCATCAATCAGTTAATATCACTTGAAAGAAGCAATGAATTGACATTCATATAGATTCGGTGAACAATTGATGCATCATTTCACAAAGCATATCAGACCAAATCAGCTAGAATTCTGTGCAACAATAACTTGCAAATGGATAAATAACTATTAAGTCTGCGAGAATGTTTAAACAAAAAAGCAAAGTAATAAGCATCGTAACTCCTCTAAATCCTTAAGTAAAATTAACTGCGAATACCGAGATGGAGAGGACAAGAGAAAATATTTAGCAGAGTGAGCACAAAGGTAAATACAACAAGAAAAGGTTTTTGCTTACTTTAGTACATTAGATAAGCAGATGAATGAGAGCAAGATCAGTACATAGACCATAATTTATAAAGCTTCTACAAGCTTTGCACGGACAGATTCTCGATCATATACTTGCTTGATGCTGTAAAGAGAAACCAAACCAAGGTGTTACTTAAACTTAAAAGAGTACTTGTACAAAATCTGATAGTTGAAACTCACAAGGAGGAAATATTTAAAATTCCATGGACCATGTGGGTAAAACAAAAGAAATCTATGACTTTCTTAATAGAGTAGTCTCCAGTCCAAATATTTCCACTGTGACACCAAAGCATTATATTGAAATTACAACAATGAGAAAGGGTTTCAAGTATATCAAAACTATTTAGACTGTACAGCAGTTACAGTATGAAAAAGAAGGGTTAATTGCTTACTTTTCCTCAACTTTTAAGGGGTGATTTTGTTTTTTCTGGTCAAACTTAGGGCAGAAAGGTAATTTATTGCCCCATGATTTCCACATATCTCAAGCTAACCGCAGAAATAATGCTCTCCGAGATAAAGGATGTGTAAATGCTATTAAAATAGTGTAGGGGGTGTGAGTGGCTATACTCGTAATAGTAGTACAAGGCGTGTATTTCCAATTAAACCTTACAAATCCTCTTCAACTTTCCAGCAGAAACAAACATATATAAGGTTACAAATATTGATGTTCCCTCGAGCGAGATATACTTTAATTACAGTGAGATATACTTTAATTATATCTTAAATATTCAAGCTAACAAAATATAAACTCAATGTTTCTACTTTTCTACAAGTGTCTCCCAACAAATATATGAAGTAGATGAAGCTCAGAATCTTCAGTGCTACAATACTTAACTTTCTTTCCTAAAAGACATGTAATTCTCTTCAAAAAAGTAATTAATATACAAAATACTTGCCAGTAAAAGCAATCCCCATTTGACACATCTTTCTTCGAAATCCAATCTGGAACCAACTCTTCCAACAGCTGCAACTGATCTTCCACTTCGCCTGCCACAAAAGAAAGATAAAGACAACAGCTGCCTACAGATGTCACAGTAGAAAAAAAGAGAAACACAAGAGTTAAATTACTTGTCTCTTCTATGTCCAAATTATTTAGAATAATCTTGTGTACAAGCTCCTGTTTTGTAATGAGAGAACAGTCAGTTGATCTCAATATGTAGCAAATTGTGTCAAACATGCCGAGCAAACAGGATTGTGAACTCCAGCGCTTCTCTTGCCCTGCTTGGCTAATAATATGATCTTCACATGAGCCAGTAGCAGTTTCAGACGCCTGTTAATTCAAAAAGAATTAAGACCTCATATCAAATCAAAGAAATAAAGTGATCCCAAAGTAGAATAAATTCTATAGACGCGTGACCCAGAAACAGAATAATGCACTTAAAGATAAGAAGAGAGGAATTGGGGGAAATATTTAAATTGCTTTATCTATCCAACTCATAGAGACTATTATAAAATCATTCTATAGAATGTGAATACAAGTATGTTTAGAAATTTCCGAGTATAAAGTTGCTGAAGTGGTAAGAAATTGAGCCCAAGCAGCTGGTACAATAACAACCAACAACTTAGCAATAAATCGACAAAGAATCTGAAGCAGGCAAATAGCCTTTAGTCAAGTTTCTCTACAGTAGCAGGAAACTAACTTAATATCCCACTAGACATTAACGTATCCAACATTGCAGAGCAGATGCTCATATATATATTTGCTAAGGTGTTTGACAAGCCAAAATTAGTATGCGCTTCAGTTGTCATACGTTTGAAGAATCTTGTCTGAGATTATTTGCTGATCCTTGATATCGAGATGTGAGTGTAAATGCACATATGTATTTGCTAAGTCATTAGAAACACCAGCATTAGTTCTTTTTTTTTTAAAGATCTGAAAAACCTCAAAGATGGCACACACGCACGTACACACATGCATGCGCATTTTCTAAGGCATCAACAAGGTTACCTCACTCCTTTGTTTGCTTCAATTATTCATATTGAATTTGTACTCATATATTTTTTATGCCAAATAGGTATAACGTGTGGTACGCTAAGTACAAATCAGCGACGCGACATATAGAGTTTTACCGAAATGAGCTTGATAGCCTCCAACACCAACAGTTAAATATAAAACTCAATTCATTATGAATATTTTAGTTTTGTTGTTGATACTGAAAAAAGTTTTATCTTATTTCAGTTCAGGTGGAGCCCATATTCACCGCCAAAGCTCGATATGCATACTCTTGCACCTATCTGTCGAGATAGCGCTGCTTTGTAGAGAGTCAGAGTTCCATTGATATGTTGGAGATTGTGGAGATGCATGTCCCCAACCGTATGTTACGGTAATTTTTGCGCTCTCAGCATGTGTCGGATCCTGTCGAGCAAATCGATCGTAGGCGACGACCTACATCTCATCGTACGGACTGGGGTGTATTCCGTGCAGCCTACATAGACAGATGGATTAATAGGTGGGATTTCATACAAGATGAGAGAGATGCAACTGTTGATTATACCACGTATATGCGTTAGTATTGGGATATCACACGTAGATGAATCACACGCGACCCACAACCATCAACTGGATACCTGTCACACCCATCGACAGATAGTTACATCCCTAATTCCATGCTCGAAAGAGATTATGTAAGTTTCTAAGCTAAATTAAAACGGTAATTTTTTTATTAAGATATTATTTGCTAAATTGTGTATATATTTATTAACTCGCAGATCAAAGCTTTTGATGGCATTGAAGCTGATATAGATGAGTACATCAGTGACATCCAAGATCCGACGATCGTAGGGCTCTTATCCAGGATCAAACAGAGAATAGCAAGCGTGTTTCATAAGACTCGTGTCGACGAGTTTGCAGGCCGTGAGGACAAGTCTTGATCATTTGGACAAATGTACACGCGACGACGTAGGTCAGGTGACGATGGAGCCAACACTTCTCATAACACGACGCATGCTGATGGAGCAGGTACTTCTCAGTCTCATACACAACCAGATACTCAGATCATCGAGGCTTAGCAGGAACGCAAGGAGCAGGGAAGGAGGGAAGAGTGAGGGGAAGGGGGAAGAGAGGGAGAGGAAGGAGAGGAGGAATTTTAGGCTGTATGTGATTTTATTTTGTTGAAATTTGTTACTTTTATGATTTTTCAAAAAATATACTTTTGTGGAGGATTAAGTTCATATATGTGATTTTCGTGAGTATTGTTTGATTTGTGTTTGATTCATGGCTGAATTTTAAGAATATTGTTGTAATTCAGTATAATATAAATCGATTGTTGTTCACAGGTGTATTTTCGTGAGTATTATTTGATTCATGGCTGAAATTTCGTGAGTATTGTTTGATTCATAGGTGTATCGTCGTGTATATAAAAAACATGCACAGGTTGTGCATGTTTTTTAAAATCTGCAGCTCCACGGGACTTGAAGTCCCGTGAAGTTGCATGCTGAATTTCCAGAGGCTGGAAATTCAGCTCAAACTTCACGAGACTTCAAGTCTCGTGAAGTTTTTTGCTTCTAAAAAACTTCATGGGATTTGAAGTCCTGTGAAGTTACGCAACTTAATTAAATGGCTACTAAACTTCACGGGACTTCAAGTCCCGTGAAGTTTCAAAGTTTTTTTTGCGTGGCTGAAACTGGGTCGATTTTGGCAATTATTTTTAGGATAGGTCGTTTTTTGCGAATATTTTTGTAAATGGGTCGGTTTTGAAAATTTGTCTTAAATTTTATCGCAGACGTAACCTCTGAATAAAGTTAATCTAAGAGAAGGGTAGCACTTTCAAGTATTGTATTTGTGGCTCTCACCGATTCAGCAGTTCAGGAAATAATTATTGTACAAACAGTATGAAAGCCAGGCACTTTTTCTCATTGCATAGTGAGGACTTCTTGTATATTACTTTATGTCTACATTGCTAAAGGAGCATAGTCGTCAAAGGTGAAGTGCTTCTAGTCTTGCATTAACTTTTTTCTAGCATGAAAAAAGAACCCTTTTTAATCATGTAACCAAAGGACATTAGCCACAATAAATCATGTATTGCAATTGAACAGAACATATGTCAAGAAGAAACATACCATTTGAAACAGGTTGGTTCCCATAACCTCATTTCCAGAAATACCTTTACTTATTGTAGTTTTTCTGCAAGCATTATGAACCCCATCTTGTGCCGACGTATAGGAAGCATTTGACAAACTTCCATCAGGTTTTGATGGAGAAAGGATTAATGACCTCCTAACTGAGTTACCCGCCTTGGGTTCAGTAACCAACTTCTCATTCCCAGGAGCAATCTTTTCATCAGTGGAGGGTACAGGTCTTTTGGGTGTCTGCTGAGATGGTGTTTCGGTCATAAACAGATCTATATTTGATGAGCATTTTGCAGGAGTGCTCTCAGAATTTAGATGCGTCACTCGACTTGGAGTACATATTGGTTTTATAGGAGATTTAACTGGAGGAACAGGGTACTGAATAGCTTCCATTTGCGGGTTTTTACTAACTTCTATCTCCTCGTCAACACTGGAAATAGAGAGTAATGGGACTGTAATAGCAGGTGGTTCTATATTTTCTGTTTCTGTGATCATTTTCTGAGAAAATTGATGATGAAAAGATGAGGAAAAATGGGAAGCACTTGATAAGAACTCTAGATCAGAATAAGTCCTCTGAGTAAGTCCTTCAGATGAAGTCCTCTGAGTAAGTCCTTCAGATGATCCCTTCAGCAACATTCTGGGTATACCTTGGTTTCCTTGACTGAATGGTTCTGGCAGCATAGCCTGGGGGATAGCAATGCCCTGTTCTCCATAAACCAAAATGAGATATGATACAGATTCAAACATAGTAACCAATGTAACTTAGGATGACAACCAAAGTAAAAACAATAATAATTTAATAACTCATACTTATGTTGAAGGCATGATACTTAGTCTGTGAAAGAGAAAAAAAACTGTCACATAATGGAATGGTTCATCTATTACAATGCAATAAAAATATCAAGTACAAACATTACCATAATCTTTTCTCTCATTATGATTTACCTCATTACAATAGAGTTGCCTTTCCCCGTGAGGATTTTCCTATTGATCTATGGTCATTTTAGCCCTATAACTAGAAGTGTCACTTTACCATCCATGCTTCTTACTCACATTTGCTATTCATACCTTCGACTTTTTTGTCAGAAAATGGATAAGCAGAACAGTAAACATATAGCCATGATGTTATGGAGGTTGCCATAGGACTATAAATACCCAAGTTGATCATTGTAAAAATTGATTGGATTGTTAAAGCATTTTACAAATACGCAGGTTGACAATTGCAAATATGTTGTCCTTTATCAAATCATCTACCATAAGTTTTACTACAACATGTCTCAGAATTTCATAGTTGACTTGCTTTATGGGGCTATTTCTATCATTTACTTTGACTATGTGACCATTTATCAACTATGTAGCCAATGGTATGTTTGACCTGTCATTTATGTGGCTGGAAACATTTGCCGTCTATTTCTAAAGGAGTCTTCCTCATATCCAAGAAGGATATCAACTTGCTTCTATGTACAATTGCTCCAGGAAAGTTCATAATCATAAGCAAACTAATAGCAAAGATTGAGATCGACAATTAGCAGTCAGTTAAGAATGTCCAGGAAGGATAGATGAACAAGTATCTAATGTAGAAGCTTATGTACTTCCATAACCCATTCAATATATGAGTAACTTTCATAAGTCAATCAAGGATCTCAGGCAATTAGTGCATTGACAAAGATGCAATGGCTATTTGAGCAAGTTATATACAATGTGCCAATGCCCAACCAAAATCAACAGAAAACCAAAGTTGAAACACTAGGATCAATGTTTCACTTGATAAGTTCAACACCATACATACTGAGCCTGACAGCAAAATTCTTCCATGAACTTGAGGAGTTCAGAAACTAAATTTACAAGGTAATTTCAGACAAGAAGTCTTCAACATAAATGTGCACGAATCAAAGTTAATTTACGTTGCCGACAACTATCCAGAAATACAAGTGAGAGTCATGAGTCATCACTTTTGCACCTTGCTCTTCAACAAAGAGTTTAATAGCATGTCATCATCTCCTCTTCCCTTAGAGATGACTTTTGTTACATAATAAAGGTGGCTACATTGACACTATTTCAACTTTCAAGAGCTATTTCAAGAGTTGGGCAATAATACACAAATTGTACCATTGTTGTAGCCCTGTGAATTTCAGAATTGGATCATACATGCAAGCACACATCTTTTGAGATGGATGCCTAGAGCAAAACATCAAGGCTTTTAGCTTTTGTATCACAACACATCTTTCTTTCATAACCAGGATCGATTTGCTAAAGCATAGCCAAGTTGAACGCCTACACAGGACAACCATCAAGGAGCAGTCAAATTAGGTTGCCCAACTTTATGCAGAACATGCAACAGAAACAGGAGGGAAAAACAGGTATATTCCTTTACTTATGCAAGCTTATGCTTAGCTCTCTATACAGTGGCTGTCTACTTACAAAGCGAAGATGAGACCAAGTTGACTCTTAAACTTTCAAGAGCAGAAAAGAGTAGAAAGGAGTCAAGTGGGGTTGCATAACCAAGTGTCAAAGTTCACCTTGGCTTGTAATACATTCCATCTATTCCATGCATCCCAAGAAAATCGTGCCACAGTTGGAGACAGCAGGCCGCAAGAGGTGATCACAACAGATTGAGCTCATCATCTTCTCAGTTTATGTTTATGTCATTTTCTATGCCTGTCTCTGATTCTTTGATGACTAGTCAATAGGGTCTAACCAATTGTGACCATTTTTTCTCTAATTTTGCCCATGTTAGCAATTTCGAAAATGACCAGAGGTTGAATAGGTTTTAGTAATGTGAATCACAAGTGCCAAGTGCGGTCTTTTAATTCTAGAAGATAATTCTTTGTAAACTATAAATATTGTTTTGGTTAGTTTTGTTAATATAATTTGAGATCATTGAGTTAAAAGTATGCACTTCCATCTCAGATAATTTGACTAACTTTCAAGTGTGAATTACTTAATTGATTACTCTAAAACACATATGGTGGTTAGAAAATATTAATAGAACACAAGGGAATAGGAAGAGTCAGTTTCCACTAGATGCATGGACCTGGGAAGGGGAAAAAGAACTTTTAGACTTCTTTTTAGGATGTTCAATTGTTATTAAATAGATGATCACAACAGATTGAGCTCCTCATCTTCTCAGTTTATGTTTATGTCATTTTCTATGCCTGTCTCTGATTCTTTGATGACTAGTCAATAGGGTCTAACCAATTGTGACCATTTTTTCTCTAATCTTGCCCATGTTAGCAATTTCGAAAATGACCAGAGGTTGAATAGGTTTTAGTAATGTGAATCACAAGTGCCAAGTGCGGTCTTTTAATTCTAGAAGATAATTCTTTGTAAACTATAAATATTGTTTTGGTTAGTTTTGTTAATATAATTTGAGATCATTGAGTTAAAAGTTTGCACTTCCATCTCAGATAATTTGACTAACTTTCAAGTGTGAATTACTTAATTGATTACTCTAAAACACGTATGGTGGTTAGAAAATATTAATAGAACACAAGGGAATATGAAGAGTCAGTTTCCACTAGATGCATGGACCTGGGAAGGGGAAAAAGAACTTTTAGACTTCTTTTTAGGATGTTCAATTGTTATTAAATAGATGCAGATCCAAATGCAATTGAAAAAAAGTTGAAACAAACAATACTGAATTGGAAGTTGCAAAAGAAGTAATGAAACTAATTCCTTATCTTCTTAGTCATACCCGCATGACCCATCAGACTGTGAAACCAAGCAAAACAAAAGGGGTTTTTGCTTATTAACCCAAAGTTTTACTCCCAATTATTTTTAAATCCACCTACTTTCATAAACACCTATACACCAAAATACCCTTAAAGATTTATTTTTAAACACAATCTTTGAAATACGGCCAAAATCCATATGGTATTTGTCAAAAACATTAAATTTCAAAAACTACCCTTCTCATTTTCTAGTCTAAGATCAAATGGAGTTGTAATTTCATCAGGTTATGAAATCCCCAAGATCTCCAAAGTCATGCTCTATCCCTAACGTTCATGATCAATGGCCCTTGATCACTCTCGATCTGACGTTCATCGGCCTCTTCCAACGTGCTGAATGGAGATCTCCCATTGTCATGTGGTTTGTTTCGCTGTTCACTGCCATGCCGCCATTTCTAGCTTTGTCGTTTCTAGCCTCCAAGATAAGATTTCTTCTCTATGTCATTGGTTAAGTTTAATTCTTGAGTAGTAAATGCATTTGAGTTTTATGCATATTTCATTTCCTTAATATCTTCTAACACACAACAAGATGAATTCAGAATATTTGAGTTATAGAATATTTGAGCTATTGATAAGGCTTGTCTCAATGGTAGTTAACAACGAGACTAAACAATTATATGTAAAAACTAACGAAATAGTAAAATCAATCTTCTGAAGCATGAAGATCCCTTGGCTATCCCTTCTAGCTTAAGTGGTTCTCTTCTCTTTGTGCTCTCTATATGTTTGTGGAAATTCTCCTTTGGGCTTCCTCTCTTTGCTTGGCTATATTTTCTAGAAATCATCTTTTTTTTTCATGCTAAGTTTCACCATTTTTATCAAGAGTATTATTCAAGATCGCATACTTTACAAAATTAGACATTCATCCTTAAAGAAGATTTGGTGGTTGAATAGTTCTTCCGGATGCTACGTTTTTTCCTCCAAAACAAAAGGATGATATAGAACAAAATAGTCTTGACATGCATGTTGTCGCAACTAAGTAAGCAGAGACAACATTGAAGGAAGTTAATTGATGGAAGTTAATTGATGGTTGGAATGTTGTTTTAATTGGTGTCAGTTCAGAGGAAAATTTCATCTTTTCTTAGTAGATGAAACATGGATCGAGTGTAATGAGTTTCAAATCTTATATGATCCATATATTGTATGGTTCAAGATCTCGTCATATAGTGTTCAACTTTTATGGAAGATATCATATGTGTTTCAAATATTGTGCTTCTGAACACGTATGAAATTTTGTTCCGCATGGCTGTTCTTGTTCAGGTTATATGATATATATGTTTTTTCAAACCTTATTTCATAGCGTTAGTATTCATATTGTTCAGGTTGAATGATTTTTTGCGCATTTCAAAGTGCTATTGTTGATGTGGGAAATTTAGTGTGGGGGCTGGGATGATATAGGGGTCCCTTAATCTCCTCTGATGACTGATTATCTTGGAGAGTGAGTAGTTCTATAGTGACCTACACAGAATAACGAAGGTTAGTGGCTCCGGATGTTGTTTCCTCCGGCATGACCTCCGACGCTCAAATCAGTGACTAAACTGTTAATCTGAATAAAAAAGCAGAATGTAGTCTTTAGGGTTGTTTTGTGTGTACCTGAGAATAGCAAAGATGACGCTATTTATAGGAAGTTACCGAATGTATTTTGGTAATTAACTAATTTGATGGTCTAACACTGTGTCGTTGCTTTACACGTGTATGTAGCAAGTTGGTGGGAGGTAGAAAATTGTACTCACAATATTTAATGTGATAGCGACAGAACGGCGGGATTTGGGGCGTTGTTGCCAGAAAGTCATCGTGATATTTGCCCATGCATTAAATGCGATGGTGACTTGGTGGCAGAGTATGGGCATTACACTATTCATCATTAAATGGGAACATTACCAATAAGACTACTGGTCATTCTTTGTTTAGGATCAAAACTTCCTCACTAAACCCAACTCAAAAAAGTTCTTTGATTCAACTCGAACTCACCCATAG